AAATCAACCATAGGTGACCACCTGGTGCCCTGTAGCTGGAAGGCTGTTCCCTCAACACATGGACCGACTGGTCTCTGCCAAGGAGACTAATCTGTAAGCTGCTATGATTCTATTCTCCTGACACTTTCTCCCCCACTGAGAACAACATGTGTTTTATTTTCAGTTTGAATATTTGAAACTGAAGTATGGAGCGTTTTAAATTATGTTTATTTGTAGGTAGTTAAAACATTATTGTTCTGTTGAGGCGAGATGGAGAGCATGGATTCAAATACAGAGATGTTAACTTGGGAATGAGCATATTGTGATGCTTTTCACTGCAGTCTTCACACAGAATGGACTTCTTGATCAGATTCACCTAGTACTTTCCAAAAGTACAGTTGCTGCAACGCTGATTTTAAATACTCTCAAATACAGCAATGAGAGAAAATAAAAGCATCTGTACAAGAGAAATGAGCACACTGAAAATCATGCGAGACATCTCTTTCATTGGTCATCACTGTCTTTTCTACAGAGGCTGTCCACAATATTATTAAATTAGCATGGAGAATTTTTTTAACTAGGTCAACAACATATACCAATTAAATCAGCAGGGTCATGCTGACTTACATCAGCTAGTGTCCTAGCACACAAATTAGTTTTCCCACAGATTTGAACAGAAAGGACAACAATAATTATGCAACCATTTGTAGGCTCCAACTAAGCAGTTAAAGCAAGTTTTATCATCCAAATTCCACAATGCCATGGAAAAAAAATGCATATATACAATGTTGCCAACACTTGCTCTCTATTTCAAATCAAGAAATCCAGAAAAATCAAACTTTAGTGAAAGACATTTGCACTAGGCACAAGGTTAGAATTAGTTTATCTGGCTTGCATCCAGTTGCAATGATTTAGGATAACAAGCAGGGCGAGCAGTGATTATCAACTTTTTAAACAAATTTTATCTTTCTAATTCATTTTGGCAATTGACACCAACTAGCCTTCCAGCAATGAGTTGCCAAGATGAGACTTCAAAGATAACTAGAGAAGAATAGGAATTTACACATGTATCAAAACTGAAATCTAGAGATGTCTTGGCAGAACACTATTAAAATAGCTCATCTGTTGATATCGAGATAGAGAAATGAGGGCTCCAATTATGAAGGAAACAGTGAAGAAATAAATGTTCTGTATTTTTATTTTGTATGCTTTTGTAGGTGTTTTGTACACATATGTTCCATATGCGGAACTCATGATTCACATCGACAACTTATCTAAAGTTACAGCTCTTAAACAATCTTTGGCAAATCCTAGAGATGTAAAGGTTCTATTTAAACTAATTGATTTAGAAAAAATATAGATTTTTAGATAGAGACTGTCCACTTTTTTTGTCACAAAGATTGTCCTTCTGCTCCTTTTGCTCATCTGTCTGACAGGCTGCAGGCATTGCCATCAGCTTGCATAAACTGCCCCTGAAAATATTCTCCATTATTCCTCACTTCTGGAGGACCTCAACTGTAGCCCTCCAGGTCATACTGTTGAATTATTTCCATGCTGAGTTTAAAACAGATAAAGCAATTGGGGAATATAAGAGGCAGAAGAAAATAAAACAGATCTTGGGAGTTTGATAACAACAGAAGATAATGTGCAGACAATCCAGAAAACATGACAAAAAATCTCAGTTTTCACATGGGTGCAAATGAGGGAGAGTAGTAAATTCAGTAGAGAGAGTAAGAAGAGTTTTACTGAAATTTTCAGAGTATAAGTAGATTAACAATAAACAACATCTTCATTTTGATATATCTAGTCTTAAAAATTCCTGCAGGGTTTCTGCCCCAAAACTCTGCAGAACCTACAGCTGCAAAAAGTGGGAATTTGGCAAGACTTCATGAGGATATTCACAAGCTTTAATACAGCGTCCTTGACAGGCACAATTCAAAGGAGATCTATTGCAAGATGTCTTCAAGAAAACCACTGGAACAATCAAGAGAAAAACATTTTCCTTATTCAACTATGATGGTGCAGTGCTGTACTGCCAAGGAATGGATATCTATGGAGTAAAAAAGACAGTCAAGTCCAAAAGTTCACTAGCTTTAAGTCACCAACTTAAAGCTAGTGAACTTTTGAGTTGTACCAACTCAAACTGAATGTAATTTTTATGCCACATCTGCCTGAAGGCCAATAGTGTGCATTAGGACTTCATATGTGGCATTAGGCAAGGCAACATCACCTTTGCACATAAGGTAGGATTTTACTTTGTTCTCTTAAGAACATTTCTTAACCTGTTTTCATCTGATACATAAAATGAGTCTCTTCTGCAATATTCTGCCCACACAATGACGCAGAGGATACGCTCTATAACTCACACTCCTTGTTACCACAGAGTCCAAGTTCAACTGAAGAAAACCGCTCAGTCCTGATTGGTGTCTGCCATTCTCATCTGAACTGTTACAGCTCTCTGCTGAAACAGTCCCTCAGCCCCTGTTTTATAAGTACCTGGAAAAAAAAAAAGTACCCCATGATGATAAAATAACCTGTTGGGTACCATGGCTTTTCCACACAAGCCAAGTAGAATGGGCTAGTTACCACAGACTGTTACTCAACTTTTAATAGATTGTTCCATAGGAAAAAATATGTTGAATTTTAGCTAATATTCCTATACAACTCTTGGTGAGCAAGGGATAAGTAATTGTTTCTTTAAGTACGTAGATTATTTATTTTACATATATTATTTATTATTATAGATTTTTCTTTTTCTTTATGCCTAAGAAAAAAAAAGTAAACATCTTTACAATTATCCTCACCAGACACTGGGACTGTGCTGCTGGGAACACTTGGTTCTTACCCTGAAGCTGCTCATAATACTGTTACAGGAAAAAAAAACAGAAGAAAACCTATGTTTTGGTCAGCCAGGAGTGGGGAATTAAAACATAAATGAATGTCGAGAAGAGCAAGTATCACCTGGCCACACAGTGCTTCCCACAACCTCCCCTATTTTAATACCAATTAGAGGACCCTGAGAGCCGCAATGCTGAGTGCAGCTGTATGCAGGTATCAGAGAAGTGAGTAAATCTGTGTGCCCATCACCTCCAGGGAAAGGCTTGTGAATAAGAGCTATGCTTTCCAATGCTTTAAGCAGTGATCAAAAGTGTAGGGATAAAACTGAGGTTTCAAAATAATACCTGTCTCCTTTCCCTAATATCCCTTGCATCCCTCGTTGCCCACTCTTCAGCAAGATTCCAGGATTTCCAATAACTTTCTCTTGTTCTGTTTCTCCCAAATACCATGAGACAAGTATATATCTGCTTTTGTTTCTGATTTAGAAGGCAATGAAGTATAGGCTACTATCCACTCAAATTCTAAGCAGGGATATGGTCTGGTATGAACATTAGACCATGACAACATTTCTATATTTGACAGAAAACCTTCCATAATTATATTCGTAATTAGGGAAATATTTTCTCCTTCATATTCCAAAGAATAAAAAAGTAAAATAAGATCAAAGAAACTGAATAAATCAGCACATTTATTTGCAAACTGTCCTTGGCTTGGTGGCTGTAACACAAAAAACACAAGTTCTTTGGCATAGCTCTCGCTGTATACAGATTTAATCCATTTGCTGTTAGGGAATATTAAATCTTGATATGCAACTGTAAACACATCTCTGCTGTTCCCTCAGGTCACTGCATGTGGACTTATTTTATAGATGTATCACCAAACCACAGCATGTCTGCTGTTATTTTAATATATTTATAAAATGCCCCCTGCCACTCTTTTGAATGCTATAAATTGATTTCATTATTTGCTCAGGGACAGTGAGAATTCAGTTAGCATTGTAATATTTCGTTTATTGCATGGAACACTCAGAAACACTTCATAACATTCAACAGTTATATCAGATAGTCCTTAAAAATCTTAAAGACTCATTTCTATCACCAGAGTATGGGTCATTTTTCAAACCACAAGTAGGGTATGCAGGCTATTTTTCGGGGAAGGATATATTCACAAGCATAAAATCAGTTAGGATATTTGAATTAAAGTTTAATGACACTAATGCAATTCTGTGCATTCCATAGAAGGACTTTTTTTGCTCACATGGCTTCTCCTGTATATACCTACAAGATGGTGTTTCATTCTCACTTTACTGAAATATGGTCTATGGCTACAGTAACATACCCACATTTTCAACATTCACTCCAAACCTCACCATCCATTAAAGCATTCATTGCTCATCTTAGCATTAGATAATACATCAAGCAATATGTTTAATAGAGTGACTTAAGCCTAATGAACAGAAGAACCTTTTCAGTTTATACAGCCTGTAAATTCTGCACTTCCTGAATCATGGAAGATCTTAATTCTGGCTCTCAGCGATGTATTCCATAGCTCTGCTCTTCCCTGTGTGCAAACACACTCCCAAGGCCTACAGATCCATCAGAGGAACTGCAGTCACTGAGGCAGAGCCGGCAGCCCATAAAGCTCTGGTTTCCCTGGCCTGACCCTTTTTCCACATGCTTTGCAATGTTCAGGATAAAGGCTCTCCTGAGGGCTATATGAACCAACATAGTGGTTTTTGGTGGAGCTGAACTTCTGCACCATGTCATCTTGGAGACTGTGGGAACAGCAGAAGGAAGAGAAGATGTGGCTTGTTTTGTATCTGAAAAAGCCTTTGCTTAACAAAGAATTTTTTAAAAAGGCATTTTTTATCCTAGCATGAATTTTATTTAAGGGAAAATTTCTGCTAAAATATACTTAGCTGACTCTTTGACCGGCTCTTTTTTTTTTTGTGTGTGTGTGTGTGTGATAGAGGTAGAAATTCTCCTTCTGGTTTCTCTACAGTGCTCCTTCCTGCTCACTTCCCCGCCTGCTTTATTCTAGACAACCCCCAGGGCTGGTGGCTCATCCCTGTGTGCTACATTTACTGCCAGAGAGCACTGTGTTTCATAGCTGCAGTTGTTGGCCAACCATTTATTGTTCTGTTTTGTTTTGTTTTTGCCATTATTTGCATTTCAAACAGAGTCAATAGGAGCAATAAGCTACAAAATAAATTGAAGTTCTGCCTAGAAGACAAACACTCTTTATTAATATGACTCAGCTACTGAAGCACTGGAACATGGAAAACTTGTTAAAATTGCCAAGTCTCTAATTCAGGTGAGATCCAGTCTATCTATATGTCAAAAGCTGTAATTTAAAGTTGGAACATTTTCTTAGCTGATGATAACCTAGTTTCAATAGGCAATCGCTTCTATTGCTCGGTTTAAACACATTACAGCAAGATTCCAAGAACAGTGCAATAGAAAAACAGAAAAACTAGAAACTGGTTTGATGACTCTTCCTCTTCTTCCTCAAGTACCTTTACTGTAACAGTTCCTATTTCTTATCTCCTGCAGAGATCATTACCTATTCTAGGCCTATTCTCACATCCTTTAGGTTATTTCTTAGTTTGACTGCTACAGATTTGGAGACTTCTTTTGGAGGCCAGTGCCAGATACAATCAAACAACTGCAGAAAGCGTTGTAAATCAATACTTTAGGAGAAGATAAATGAAGAAAAGCCAGAGAGAAGCTGTAACATCCCTATGGAAAATCCATGGAAGTTTTCTGCAGCAATGATTGAATGCAGCCCTAGTTTATACACTGCACTGTTATGTGTCAGAACATGTGTCCTGCACATATGCACGCAGGCAGGTCTCCTGTGAGGAGCAGATGAAGGTGCATGAAACTAACTTATGAAACTAACTTCTCACTGCAAAGACAACTTCCAGTCACGCTTCTAATAAAAGTCGTGAGTGCAATTCAATCATGTTTGTTTCCCTCTGCTTCCAAATAGCACTGTCATCCATGACCCCCTGTACCTCCAAAAGATATATACACATCATTGCCTCCAATATCCATGAACGCTTTTGGCAAAAACACCATATTCCCTAGGAGACAGGGCAGGAGGGGACCACTGGGATGGGAAATGGCAGCAGAGCCCCTGGCTATGACATCAGGCCTCTTAAACTGATGGCTGGGACGCTAATAACAAGAGCACTTTGTTTCTTAATGGACCTCTGGGATCCTCAGTGCACCCTCAGTGTAAAAAGGTAAGTATTAGCCTTCCCCAGTTCTTTATTTATTTATTTATTTTTTTAATTCCCTCTTTTAGCTATGCCTAAATAAATCATCCAGGAAAAGCAGTGGCAGAATCAGGGTTACAATTCTGCCTTCCAGCTCAGGATGGGAAATGTTCAAAGCATCTTGCAGGGACTCATATCCCATCAAGCTGTCAGGACACACTCACAGCAGTGGTGACTCATCTGGACATAACACCAAGATCCTGTCCATAAAGCATCTCCTGGCACCTTGCAATATAGTTTGCATCTCACAATTCCCACATATAAGTAGTTTGTATTCCAAATGCTAGTATCTCCCTGGCTAATATACTTGCCAGTTTGGGTGATAATTATTAAAAAACAACCTATAATGTTACACAGAATAAGGGCCAATCCCTCCGGCCTTCAGACAATAGAACATTCTCCATTGGCTTCAGTGGGAGTTGGATAAAACTGCTAGAGATAAAATCACTAAAAATAACTGCCTAGAAAATATGTTTTACAAGATAAAAACACAGCCAAAAATATTTTAACTTGCTAATTAATAATCCCAAGAAACCTCAATGGTGACAGATTTTCAATGAATTAATACATTCACCATGCACCACAATCTGAGTTTTCCCATGACTTCAAGAATAAGTTAATTGTAGATTGATTCTACAATACTGTGAACTCAGCCATAAATTATTCATCCTTTCTCATATATCTCTACATCCCATCTGCAAGTTATATGGAAATTACCCCCTGGCTCAGATTCCACTTAATATAAATTGGCATAGCAACAGTAATTCTGTCTTTAGCATGCACTTAGCAGTAGGCTGAAAAAATTCTACTTAATATCTTTAATAACTGAGCAGATTCTGTGGATTGCATTTTGATACATGTATGCAGCAGCAACACCAGAATAAACTCTCATCTATTAGAAGAGAAAGTGCTGTACCAAATAGTATAGAGAAAAATGCAACATGTAAGAAAAAAATGTCCTTTATCTTTCTTTCTTTTTTTTTTTTTTTTAATTAAAGCCATTGTTTTTATTCCAGTCATTTAGGTCCATTGATGCATTCATTCCAAGCATCTGCAGAGTTGTGTGTCCTTTCTATCCTTTCATTCAAGCGTTTCTCAAAGAAATCAGACCAAGGAGACAGATAAGAAGACAAAGACGGAGTTTGAAAAACTCCACACTTCAAAGCGCCATTTTCCTTAATCTGTAAAATCCAGACAAATTCAGAAGTCCACTGAATGAGTAACCTATGTTCAGAATAATGTTCAACCACACAGTATTGCTAGTGGAATGCCAAAGCTGTTCTAAAAATTTCCGAGGACAATCTCTTGCTTTCTTAATTTTAATCCTACACTCTAGCTTTTTATTGCATCTTAATATGTTTAAAATATATTTTAAATAAAGATATTTGAGAATCAGCTGTTTTAAATCACCACATTTAACATTCACAGGCAGTTACGTTTTTGGGTGTGTGTGGAAGTCACCACCCAAACTGCTACCCTTCTTTGGTCCATTAAGAAATCTCAAGTATGATGAAGTCCATAAAGAAAAGATAAAATACTTCTAATTTATGTTCTCTTTTGCCGATGAGGACAAGTCCTATCATATTAGATACTTGCCCGTGACAATTTAAGGGCAACAGAAAGTTGGAAAGAAGTTATTTCCCTTCACTCTCTTATCAGCTAGCATGTCTGATTTTATTTATGCTTGTCTTTGTGATCGCCTGCTGTACAGCACAAGGCTTATCAACTGACAAAAAGATGAATGCATAATAAATATTCTACAACAGCAGGAGAGCTTTGCTAAATATAAATGTAAATAAACTGCCGGGTCAGACTTCTACCCTTTTCCCTAAGGGTAGGTACAGTTGTCTTCTCATATCGCTCAAATTGCAGTGCCATCTCAATTGCTACTAGCAATGAGTAATTAGTTTCTTTCTCAGGCACCTTGAGTAACTTTTGGGTGATCTTTAAGGTTTCAATAGAAAAAAAAGATGGCAATATTGCCCATACAGAGCTATTTTAAAATCAGCAACTTCAGTTCTTGTATTTAATGAATTGTTTGCAATGTTTTAATATGCTTCATATTGTTGTAAAATTTTCAATAAGCAATTGCTCCAGCCGTGAAAGAGAGCTGGCTTGGCAAAACCCACAAGCATCTCATATGCAGTAGTACTCCAAATTGGAGGCATAATATTCTTGTTTCCTTATTTGCCTTGTTAAAAGGATCAGTGAACACTGCCTTGAAGTGCCCAGTTTAAAAAAGTGTTTTTGTCTTGCCCTAACAGCCTGTCTTTGCCCTTTGGGCATGGGGGAAACCATAGAAGGAAAGAAGCTTCAGTTACAGAATTTACATTAACATTTTCTCCTTTCATTTTTGTAGGCTTTCCTATTTCTTCCTTTCTTTTTCCATGTGGTATTAAGAAAAGTGAAAAGACTGTATTCTCTCTGACTGTTACTAATAGGTGAAATCTGATTTTGATAAACAAGCACATTCAATATATTTTGCACATGGCTGAGACAAACAAACAAACAAACAAATCATCCAGTATCTTCCTAATAGATTAAATTTTCCTATCATGCATTTGTACCTTGCAGTGGAGCACACAATTATTCAAATTCTTGGACAGCAATATCAGTTACATTACTGGACTAAGCTCAAAGACATCATCTTCCAAAAAACAGTTTGAAATTAAAATATATTTTTATCATTAGCATGTGCTACACTGACACAAACTTTATTTTTCTACAGTTCAACTAGTGTTAACATTTTGGTGCATCAGTGCAGGTACTTCAAAAAGAAAAAGATACTTGACCTTCTCTCCTGTTTGAAGATATCAAAAAATATTCTCCCCACCCAAAATTACAGGCTGTGAATTTTTAAATTGGAAGATCTGAAACGTATTACACTGCAAAACTTTCCCTATTCATTAACAAACAAGGCAGTTTTTACTACCTGTTAAACTAGTACTGGCATTTGGTTTTAGCAAACTTAGCTCATTCTCTACTTGCAGATCATCAAACTACACTGATCTCTTCAGCTAAGGTTGCAGAATTCTGTACTGTGTAGCTAGTTAATTTCACTAGTTCAGAACACTAGTAATTCAGTAGGAATTAATAAGCAGTGCAAAATCACAGTAGTATGGCTATTAACTTCAAATTAATCACTCAGAAGACAGAGAGACAAGTGAAATGACACTTATATTCATGAATTGTGTGGACAAAAATGGAGAAAACATTAAAATTCTGTTCTTCACAGCCCAAGGACCTGATGTAGGCAAACAGATCTTCTCACAGTTCTTTATGCTTTTGAACATTATGACTTATGGCCTAAAACTAAGACTCATACTTCATCATTTGCCTACTCCAAAGGCAGATTTAAGAATTTGTAAGCATTCTCTTGGTACAAGACTTGAATTTCCTGTATTATTTTCTCATGATTGTTTTGCATCATACTATTACAAGATTATTCTCAAAAATCCTGGCTACCTTTTATAATAATACATCAGATAGTAAGCTTTACACACAACCAAACAGCTGCTCCCCCTGTTTCTGTGTGGAGTACAGAATAAACATATGACAGCGTCTGGATCCATAACACTCTCTGTGAAGTCATCTAATCTGGCAAAGGAAGTTCACAGAGCCAGATATAACCATAATGTAATTTCTTGACAAAAATCTGTTTTATTGCATTTCCTCCTGAGATGCAGGGATATTTCTACTCAGAAGACATCTGACAGTATAAGATCCTTTGTAGTACACTTTTCAAAGCTGAACTGTAATCTCCTACCAGGATTTGCTCTGCATTTGTCTACAGATAAGACACTGTCAGCACTTTTTTCACAAACTGCTCACCGTGAAAGTTTTAGAATTTGACTGTTGTAAATTGCTTCCCTTAGAAAAATGCATGGGCAGAAGATTTATTGTACAATACTTCAATGAGTAATGAGAGTTCACAAAAACATTGGGTTTTCATTACATTTCCAGTGCCAAAATTGTTTTTATTTCTTCTACAGACAAAGACAATAAACTCTCATTTAAAATTGTCTCCCTCAGCTTAAATTTTCACTCTGAATCTCTAGTTCTGCCTTTGGTGGTCTTCTCTTTTACGAAAATTACATATTCCCTATGCTGGCAGCTAACTTGATGGGAAACCCACAAAGGAAGTGGAGCAGAATAAGGAACATATGAGAGAATCCAAAGAAGCACTGAAAAAAGGTAATGCAAAGAGTACTGCTGAATGAGGAGGATCCTTCACTGAAAAAGAGCTGGACTGTCAGGTGACAGGAGAAGGACCTGGCAGGCTTTGGAATAGAAAGGATTTCCAAAAGCACAAGCACACCATGGTGCCCTGTGGTCCCAGACTCTACATCCAGAACATCTCTACTACAAAGATTCTCAGTGGGGGAATCAGTTCTTCTGTATACCCCCATTTCTAGCCTGCACCATCCTGTGGTCCCCATAGCCATATGACCAAGGTGATGTCTGCAGAACTTCCGTAGATACAATAGTTTGTTCTAGCACACAATGATCTAATGCTTGATAGTATCTAATATTTAATAATGCTTGGTAACAGAAGAACTATACTGAATTCTTCTGGTATTAGTGACAGTTTTCTTTTCTTTTTTTTTTTTTTTTTTTCCTCCACAGAACTTCAGAATGGAAGTTGGTTTAAACAAAGCACAAAGGGAAGTCTTGGCTCAACTTAATACTAAAATCATTTCTCTGAGTGTGTTGTGTCAGCTTTGGCATTTACACTGTTTATGCAAATTATACAAACAAATAAAAATAGCTAACAATTTTCACAGAGTAAGCATTCCTTTGCAAGTCTAGTAGCAGCATGTACGATCTCCCACTTGGGGACTTACTCCTTCTTTCTGCATTTTATGACTTTGTTAACAAATGCTAATTTCTTCATAATTAAATTAACCATTTAAGTTCTAAAGTATTTGACCATGTCAAGATTTGCTGCAATACCTCCCTGATTACCAGATTAGTACAGTGGAAAGGTACTTTTAGCAAATGAATGGGACAATGAAAAAAAGAGGAAAAAACACCTGTAAGGAAAAACACAGTCATGCATTATCACTACATTTGAACATTACTACACAGAGAACTGGACTGAAGCAGGTCGTCTATCTACAGAGGAGCCACTCGTCTAGTAACATTTTGAAAGGTGTAAGCTTTCTAAGAATTCTCTTTTAGTAATTATTAATCTGAAAAATGTGTTTATATAGTACACAAAACATGCTATGTGTACTGCGTTGTTTTTCACAAGAACACAAAAGCACTTTCCAGGTCTGAATCTCACCATAGGCTATTAATAAGCACTGCCCCCTGGGAAAAATCTGTATCATTTCAAAAATATCAAGATTTCCTTTGGGCTACATAGAGTATGAAGGAAATAGGCTCTTTCTTTTTTTCTTTCATTCTTTCTTTTCTTTTTCTTTTTAATAGTTCAGCACACTTTCTTCACTGTCTTTTTCACATAACATTTAGATGAAGCCAATATTAGTTACACAGCAGCCTGATGCAGCCAACAAACCCTTTCCCTAGTAAGGAACAAATCCCACTCTGTGCACCTCTGATCAACATCCAGGAAAATAAGGTTACTTCTAGTCTGTCTTCTCATCAGCTTCTTCCATGCTTCTCATTATTGATCTAATTTACTTTTAGGGCTGGTAAAGGATGGAGGGATGTGCCAAGTTTACTGCAAGTTTCAAGCAGCCTTGTTTGAAAATCTCTCAGAATAAAGCTGACACAAGAAATAAATCTGGATCTTCTCTATAAAATCCAGAGTGGTTCTTTTCTCTCAGCTTTACCTAGACCCCACTCAATCAGAAAAGAAGTGAATAAACACATTTGCTGTGTTAGTGCCATGGTCACTACAGCTTTCTATGATCCTATGACAAAGAGAACTGGTAGTAGCTGTGGAAACTGAGGGGTCTCAGGTCAGCTGTGTCTTGGGATTCCCATTAAGCACCTCAGGGGTGGTGGTCAAGCACTGGGGAGAGCAGAAAAAGAAGTACAGGAGCTCCCGCAGCCCCTGCAGAGCTTCAGCGAGCAGCAGAGACAAAACATACTGTTCTTGACAGTGTTCTGACATGAGGATACTGTAAAATGGGCAAAATAAAACTAACGGAGTTGAAAGACCTTCTTTCCGCCCATGGATGCTGAAAGGATGCAAGTACAGTGAATTTCTGCCATTTGAGTCTTTTGTTGTCACCAGGGACATCCAGAGATTCCACAAGCAAAAGGCATCCAGTCTGCCTCCTCACCACCAATTTTCCCCTTGATGTATTTCTCGCTGCCTCTGAAGCCTGCTGTCAGTAACAAATCCTTCTGCTACCAGCAGCCTTTCAGAAGCTGTACTGCACCAATCAACCACCCGACCGAGAATGCTCCTGTGGGCAACTCCATTACCAGTACACACACCCATCTCAA